CTATTAACCAATCTGCTGGTGGGTAGCCATGCTGTCCTAGGAGGACAGGATGGGCAGTTGATGCTGCAGCCGGAGAATAGCAGGCAGCTACACACCCCTTTCCCTGTCCTTCCCTGTCCCCACTGGACACTTCCTCCGTTCAATTGAATTATCTTTCCCTTGTAACCAATCTACCACTTTTGCTCGTGCCATTTTAAGTTTGTTTTTCTAGCCTTAGAGTTTGGGAAGGTCGATTTCTCTCCCTCCATATTGTTTTTCATCAATTCTGTTTCATTAGCCCAGTAGGTCCTTTTACAACTGAAAGGAAGATCTAAAGATCTGAAAGATTCACATTATGGAAGGGCAAATTTTCTGGAAGTTTTCTTTGATTATTTCTTTGATTACTACTTCGCCATGGCGCCTTTTTCCCCTTCTGTATTAGCAACTGTTTCAACATTGGGTCTCCTGGATGAGTTTTCCTGTTTTTCTCATGGTTGTAGTTCATTCTCCGAAACCCGAATTCAGCCTTAGCTGAATCTCATGTTCCTCTATTGAATTTTTAAATTGGGGAACCCCTGTTTTCAGTTCTAGGAAACTCTCTCTGGTCCTCTAATAATATCCCTACAAGAGTTTAAATCATATTCTATCCAGATTTTCCTCCATTTTCCATGTTGGCTCTGCCTCCATAACAGAGGTTTATTGTCGTTTTCCACCATGTCAGCCTCTTTTGCTTTCATCTGAGCTGCAATGTTCCCATGACGTGGTTGTGACGTTTCTCTGTCTCTTCACATGACAGTGTGCTGGCTTTCAACACCTGTGCGTCTCTCTGGTTCTTTCCTGCATACTGACAGCCAGGGGAGGGATTTTTCCTTCGGTGGTTACCCAGCGATCCCCATGGTCACTTTGTGAAAGCCTCTCAGTTCACAAATCCAAGGAGGGATAGGCTGACCTTAGCTCAACATGGAAACTACCCCTCCTAAGATGCCGTCAGGCAAGGGACAGCCTCTCACCGATGCATCCTGCAAACAGAAGAGACGTTCTTTCCTTCCCCCAGGTCAGCTGGCCCTTCCCATGCACCCCCTCCATAGTCAACTCCCATCAATTCCAGCAACTCCCATTTACATTTTGCCCCCCATTTGCACCTTCTTTCAGGAACTTGATATCTCACTGTGTGTGGAACCTCATCGGTTTGCCAAGGTCAGCCCCTGACTTTTTCTGGATGGCTGTATTCTCCAGGATGGGAATGTGAAGCCAGGTCACCATCTTTCCAGAAACCCACATCCACACATTTTAAAAGCATTCTCAGTTCTTAGGAAGATAACACGCTGCTGGAAGATGAAATCATATTATTATTGCTTTCCTAAATCACCACTCTAGAAATAAAATATATATGGAATTGTGTGGTAGTACAAAAATAGATTGGGATAAGGTCACACAAATATGTAGCTTTTGTAATATTCATTAAATGCTCACTTTTGATTTACCAGCCTCATCATTCATCTGGTTACTATAAAATGGCTCCAGTTATTAGCTAATTTTTCATAATAGTAATGATAGCTAACATTTACCAGCTATCTACTATGTGTCAGGCCCTGAAGTAGGTGTTGTGTATGCATAAAGTTATTAAATTCTCAGGAACCCCCTATGAAATAGGTACCATTCTTTCCAACATATTATAATATAGGAACCAAGGCTCTGGGAAGTTAAGTAACTTACCAAAGTCACATGGCTAGTAAAATGATTTATTTCCTTAATTAAATAATGAGCTACTTTAAAATAGCTCATGTATCATATTTTCTTGCATCCCCAACTGTGCTTGGCACTCAGGCCCTCAGTAAATAAACAGTAATTGAGAGAAGCAATGTTTTATTCATACTTGATCTCTAGAAAACAGTGCTATAAAGTGGATGCTCCAGAAATGTTTTAACTATAAAATAAGGAATTAACAATCTACCAAGATTTAAGAAACAAATTCACATAAGATGACCTAAAGTTATTTATACAGAAGACTTGACTCTCAGCCACTAACCCGGGTTGCTGGAATCCAAATATGTACAAAATATTGCCTCTGTCCTTAAAGAACAAGCAGTCTGAAGGGAAAGCAGATATGTGAACAGTTAAATATAATAAAATGCAATTGTTCTTACATGCCTATATAAAGTGCTATGGTGTTACCCGTGAAAAAATATTAATTTTTCAGTAAGATCATAAGGTTTTCACTTCTCATTAATTAACAATGGAATCAGACATAGAAATAAATACTACTTTAAAGGTTTTTTTATTAGAAAGTTTATTGCATTAATCTATCCTCATTTGGTGATATAAATGACAATGTAAGCTAATACTGACCGAAGTTTACCATCTTTGGAAAATAGAGATATTTTCACACTGAAAGCATTTTTGTGTTTGCTACAATCAGGAAAATTCTAACGTATTTGGGTTTTTTTTTCCTTTTAAAAATATATGTTGTGATTTGTTCATATCAAAAGGATCCTGGATTAAATACTGAATGAAAATAAGCAGACCTGGTGTTAGGTCACCACTAGTCAGAGGACCCTAGAAGGCTCGTTTGCCGTACATCTTTAGTGAAGAAATAAGCACTCATCCACACCATGTGACTCACATGGGCACATCTGTATACACTTCAATGACGTAAAGCCTTTAAGATCAAAATATCTATTAAATACTGAGTTGGATAATAAAGACATTACCCGAAGATAGGAGATTTGTTATTTTAAAAAACATAACCTTAAAATGCAATTTTTATGACTTCATCTTATTCTAAATGGTAACTGGACTTCTAATGTTGACATGAGTTAGTAGTGTAATGCTCCTGTGCAACTTTTTCAGTATTTATGGTTTAAAACCCCCCAATAATTGTGAAGTACTTCTGTAGCTCTTTGGATGGACCACATTTTCATAAAGTGGTTTGCATTTCTCACAGCACACAGTGGTTGTGCTAATGGAATTGGTTGGGACAGGTTATAACTATCTTACAAAATTCTACATTGGCTTTCCTAAAATTGGTGAATATAATTTACCATAGAGATAATGCTAAACATATTACATGCTCTCTTGGCATAACGACTGTAGCATGTGAGAGGAATTTATATCAAGCATTGTAAATAATTATGAAATATTCCTTATCATATAATTCACTATAAATAACATATTCTCCATATTACAGCAAGTACACAAGCTATTAGCTGGGCCACTTTTGATGTATTTATATATAAATAAAAATAGTTTATAAATTTTCTGACATACCATCCTCTAGGGAAAGAAGAGTTTGGCTGACATTCCTACGTGAATGGCTTTTCCTTGGTATTGCCAAGCTCATTCACTGCTCTGACCACTGTAGGATATGAGGAAGAAATTAATTTTAGGGTCCCAATGAATGAGCTCAAAGGTCAAGAGAATAGAGTCACGGTGTATAAAGAATTACCTCACCATTAAATTACATTAGATATATCTGGAAGGGTCCAAAGGTGGCAATTTCAGGGGGGAAAAAAAACTTGCCAGGTCCTTTTGTCTTTTAATTTTCATTCCGACAAATGAAGTTCTCTCTTTACCCAAGCCTAGATCAAAATATCTAGGAAGCTTTGACTTCTCAACTATACCTCTCCAAATACACTATGTCATTTTTACAATATCCAAAATGCTATATGTGTTCTGGTGTTTGAAAAATCTTGAGTGAACTCTGGTGAGCAAAACTCACCTCTGATACAAATGTGGTGTCAGGACAGCATCAATCCTGAGCAACTGGTCTACCAGAGAGAATGCACAGGGAGGGATGTCAGTGCCCGTTCGGAGTCCACATCTGCTGCTCAGGCTTTCTGCTTGAGATGCTCCTGTCTTTGCACAGGAAGCTTTCAGGGTTTTAGTGTTTTTGTTTTTTTGGGGTTTTTTTGTAGTGTAATGAGAAAAAAAAATTTTTTTTTTTTAACTCTATCGAGGACGTTATGGGGAGACTCAAATGTATCATGGAACAGTAAAGAGATGATGCTTAAACGAGAAGGGGAAAAAGACTTTTTTTCTTACCAGAAAGGACTTTTCGTGGCTAGTGACCCACAAGTGTCTCAATTAGATGCCTACCCACCCCCTGAGCCAAGGGTCAGCGAAAGGGTAACTGTTGGAATGAATCAATTGTTTCTAAGATGTGTTCCAGGTAATTTCATATGTCCTTGAATTAACTTTGGGGTTCTCAATAAGAAACAACCATCAAAGGAGTGAATGTTCGAGGTGTGTTTGTTCTATCATCTCCCTGATCAAATCACCACCACAGGGGCAGGTGTGTGATGTGAACTCATTGGATACCGCAACTTGATAACTGGCAGGGACAATGCCTTATGTATGTATATTACCAGCAGAATGGGTGCACAATACATATATGTCAACTGATTCACTGAGACACCATATAGGGTTTCCTGTCTTTAAAGATTCACAGCCACAGTTTCCTCTCATGAAGTTGCTTCCTCATGCAGCCTTTCAGCCCTTCCGCTTACTCACGTAAGTCAAAGAGAAGCTGGCCTTTTTGCATCAGGTTGGCATTCTCGAGACAACCACCTTGAAATGAAAAATGTTAGTGCGTGACAGGTGTGCACAGGTTGAGTATCCATTCTGGTTTGCTTGGGACAGTCCAGATTTAAGCCCATTGCAGGTTAAATATTAATAATGCCCTCATTTACACTCAAAAGTGTCCCAGTTTGGATGATCAGTTGTGGGATCATCCCAGGGAAGGTCTTCATTAAGACCAGTACTTGCTCAATAACCAACAGCTCCTGCCTCCCCTAACCCCCTGGCTTAGCCAAGACTCAGAACCCACAGATCAAAAGGAGCTCCATTTTGGAATATTAAAAAGCTTCTCTAGTTCAATTATAAGCCATTCATCTATGGTTACTTTACTATTTAAGTAATGACCGATTTTTAATAGATTTGATTTATATACTTACGTCTCCTCCCTCCAAAAGAAAAAAAGAACAATGCATTTTTATCAAGCAAAAAGATAAGTGGCAATAATACAAGAACCAATGGACATATAATATAATTTTTTTCATTAACAATCCAAGCACTACAAAACATAGAATATACAACTTAAAAATGGAAATACAAATTAATGAAAAATGGGGTACATGTCATATTAGCAATGCAAAAGACCAGCTTAAGCATAAATCAACAATTAATAAAAGGAAAGTGCCCTTTTCTCAAATACGCACAAAAATATTCCGGTCACTTCTAGGGAAAAATTAATCAAAGCTTTCTACTAATTCTATATTACAGTATGAGTTACTAATGGTTTACAAAACCGAAGCATCTTCTTACACTTAAAATTTACAACCTTTTCCAATCATTATACACTTGTTCAATCCAGTCTCTCAAAAATAAAACTATTTCATTTCCATATTTATGAAATAATTATTGATATGTTATGGACCTTAAGTGGTGAATATGTACGATGGGGACAGTGATCAGAATGACCTCATGGATCAAAAGTGGGCCAAGGGTCGAAGAAGACAACCCTCTGCCAGCCACACCTGTATACTGATTCCTGAAATAATTATACTATTTCTAAAATAATTCTAATTTTTCATTTCTTCATCCTAAAACAGGTCTAAAGTTTTCATATTTAAATGTGCTAACCAATTCTAGAGTTTACTCAAAGTCTCTCCAGGTATGCCACTTGACAGAACATTTCTTCCTGGGTTCATATTATCCCTATAATTCTGAGTCCAGCTGAAAAAAAATAAACATAAGGACTCGATAATATGCCCCTTCTCTTCTACACGCTTAGTGATTCACACTAGATTTTACGACAAACTGCACAATCCTCGGTACAGCTCTGCAATGCAAATGAGAAAGAAAATACTGTAATTGTCATCGTTCAAACCATACTGCCAACGGCCACCGCACCCCATGACTCCCTCCCAAGGACCTCCGCACGTTCATGCTTTTAGCCCAGATTTTATAGGAATTTGCGCTTCACGAGTGCAGTTCTAAAACTAAGAAGAAGAGGAAGTCACATTGATATCTCCTTCTGAGCCACCTGTATAAGGAGGACCTACGGTCAGTCAGCCTCAGCTTTGAGCTTTCTGGTTCATGTCCGACAGTTGCCTACCAAGTAGATTAACATTAACCTAAGGTGGCAAACTTGAGGATGGAGAAGAACCGAAGTGCAGTTCTGGAAACTGTTCCAGCGGCTACCGAGCCGTCCTTTGGTGTCATTCGCTGCTGCTGCTGCTGCTGCTGCCACTGTCCTCTCGCTTGGGGGAGGAGGAACTGTCTCGGACTGGCAGCAGGTCATAATGGCAAGGGATGTGACTGTTCTTTGGGAGGTCGTATGGATCCTGGGTGAGATGCCCATTATTGCTGAATATTCCTTGGACAACACTCACTGTAGGTTCTGTGACAACCAGGGACACATTAATTTATCAGCAATGGAATATTTTAAACAGAATAGAATATGGCATTTCTTGCGAATCTCAAACATATAAGAGGAGCACTTCCAAAAATGTAAAGAAACACTATTTTAAGAAACAAAGGATGGTTTTATAATCACATCGAGGTGGGTACTCCACGGCTGTTAGACCAGCTGATGCACACAATGGCGTTCTGAACAATAAGGTGACCGTAGGGTTGGGATGAAGACACCCAGGGACAAGACAGAAACCCTGGATGTGAATCATTGTCTGAAAAGCACCTTGTAGGTAATCTAGTCCAGATCCTTTATCCCATAGGTGAGACTGAGGTCCTTTCAGGGTAACTCAATTCATGGAAATGCTTAACAAGTTCACTTTAGGACTCAGGACCCAGGCTCGCAGTTGCGCTCCCATGTTAAAGTGTTGGGTTTACCAGATGGCTCAAAGGGGGTTTGTGACTGACTTTTAAAAATAAACTTAGGTCACTCACTACACCTTCCATTTTTTTTTTTTTTTTAAAAAGCTGTCTTAACTCATAAGAATAGTTATTCATCTTTTCAGTGTCATGTCTGTGGCATAAATTAAGTACTAGTGACTAGAGTTAAATTAGCCACTTCATTTATAAGTAATAGAGAAGTTTTTAAAGTTTAAATCATAAACTTGAGAGAGAGAGAGGAAAAAAAAATTAAAATACATAGCCCTACTCTACCTACCCAGTGACAGCTCTGATATGTTTTAACTTTCCTGAAATGGTATTTGTAAGGAGCAATCAAAACAATTCTAATTTTAAATTGAATTCTTATTAATTTCCAGCCCATTCACATCCAAGAATATGAGCAATATATCAGACAAATTTAAAAGTAAAATGTTTCCATCCTGCTAAAAGCATTATATTAACGTAATGAATATGCAACCAGGAAATGGAACCACCTGTTTCATGCCCTTGAACCATTTGTTTAGGCTAACTCAACACAAGAGCTAATGTGAGACATATGCTATTCCACAGGTGTGCTCAAAGAGTCACTATGGTTACAAAACAAAAGGTGGACAGCCAGGTGAGAGATAAGGAAAATCTACTTTAAATTTTCTAAATGCTATTTTCCCTTAAAAATTTATTTGACACCAATTAATAGGGTCACTGAAAACACAGGTCGCACTGAAAATATGGACCAGTGTCTTCAATAATGTTTATACGAACTGTTATTGTATGCTCAAGGACTTTTAAACCGTTTAAAAAAAATTCCTATATTAGGCTCTTCCTTTGGTTAGGGGAACTCACCAACTTCATAGACATTCTTGTTGGCTGAAGTTGAGTTATTGATCTCTGCATAGGGGGAATCTCTCCGTGCTGGCGACTTCATCTCCACATAGCCACACTCTGAGTTTTTCGGGATAAGTACAGGTGGGTCTTTAATAGTGGCATATGGATTTTCAGAACTGCTTAGGGAGCAGTTACTTGAATTATATTCAGAATTCTTGCCCAAATCTGTAAAGAGAGATGGGGGAGAAAAGCAAATACTATTTTATGGACAACATTAATTTTTTTCTTGGGGGTAATTCACTCGGACAGGTTACTTCTTTCTCTTTGTAGCTAGATTTCTATAATTACATATACCGACAACACCACCATACATTTCCACTTATTTTGGAGAGAATCTGCTGTAAAATTACCCATCTATAAAGTAATTTTAGCTCCTCTCTCAGGTGAGTATCTATGTGAACATTGTGGATTTGATTTCATTTTGATTTCGTTTCACACTCAAAATTAATTCCATTCTAACTTACTAATAGTCTCTGAATTCTCAGAGGTTTCAGTCAAGAAACCACCTGTGGATACCCCTGGGAGCACAAGAAAGTTCTATCATGGTGGTGAGGGAGGCTTTTGTGACGTGAGACTTCCTTGTAAAACCTCAGGACTGGGCACATGAAGTTATTCATGTAACCATGCTGAGCTCTTGTTTTCCTGCTATTTCCTTTTGTGTGTGTGTGTATTTCTCTCTCTCCATAAGTCTTACATCTTTTCAAAGAAATATGAGTGTTTCCCCAGCAAACGGAAACCTTTGTTCCCCTAGACTTATGCTCTAACACCATGCACCTATGGTCACGCTCTTGACCTCAGTCAAACATGTTTGTGTGTTTGGTGGGGTAGTTAACCACACCAACAACTGTACATTTTCTCTACACTGCCACTCTTGCTTGTTTAGCCAACTATTTCAGTCTCTGAAATAAATTGTTTTTAAAATTGTGGCTCTGATAGATGTATTTCTTCCTTAAATTTACACCATACCTTTCAAGGATTTTCCCATATAACTTCTGTCAAGTCCAAAAGCTCCTGTGATAAAGAAGGAAAAAATCTCCAGTGAGATCTGGAAACAAGAGAAAACCCATCTAATATTCCAAGGTCGTGGAGGAGGATGGTTTGGGCACCCACTATCTCCCCACTGCAGGAAATAACCAAGGCTGTTGCTTTTCAAACCTTTGCACCAGGTCGCTCATGCTTGATGTCTTCAGCACTTAGAATTTAAAGTACATATATATATCATTCTGATCATCCTCCTGCTCATTTATAGTGACTTTGGGAAAGGCTGATCAGTACAAGTAGAAAATAAGGCATGGGTGAATCGGTACACTTGATTCAAGGTCACACCGTGGAAAGGACACAGCCAGGACTAGCATTGAGACAAAGGACTTTGATTTCATCACTCGCTCACCACATGACTTTGGGCAAGATGTTCAACTCTCTCTGGGTCAATTTTCTTATCTCTAAAATGAAGAAAACAAAATCTGCCTTCCAAACTTTACAGGGCTGGTGTGATCATTAAGTGAACTAGAGCACACGAAAAGGCATTGTAAACTCTGAGGTGCTGTATAAATGAATGGTGTTTCAGTGACTGTAACACTAAATGTGTCCTACGACCCCAGCTCCAGTCTACATGCAAGCATTCCAAGGCCTCTTTCATGATCTTTTAAATGGAATGCTATAGACTTACATTAGAAACAGAGAGTAAAGTAATGACTTATGACAAATATTCAAATAAGTAGGAGAATGGTAAGGAGACAATCACCTGCCACTGTGCATGTGCCCCTTAGAGTGATAGCAGACTCAAGTTAGGATGTCCTGGGGGACACACTTTTGTGAAGAAAGAGGGAGCATCCCTTAAGGGGAGAGGGTGTGTCTAATATCGTGGGATAGGAAATAGGAATGTCCTCCTTTCTCAGAGAATGTTTTCCTCTCTCAGATCTGCGTTGTGAAGTCTAGCCAAGCTCCCAGCTGGTGGGAAAGGTGCCCTGTTATGCAGGGAGGCGGGATAAGGATGAATAGTGAATTAACCTAATCAAAGTGAGGTCTGGCCCTTGCCCTTAGTTCCTGGGAGGTGATCTCTAAGTCCTTGGAATATCCCACCCAGTAAGAGTGTTTTTGTTTACCTGGGGCCTAGGGCTACACTGGATAATGTAACAAAGTGATTTATGAGAGGGGGTTTGGGCCACTTAGTGTCAGCTCCATCTCCAGATGGGCCAGTTGAAAGGTCAACCACATGGGTGGTCGACCATGCTGACCTAACCAAACTCTCGTAAAAACTCTAGACACCAAGGCTGAAGCCAGCTTCCGTGGCTGGTAATACTTCATGCGTCTTGTCATATACTGTAACCAGGAAAAGTTAGCACTTTCCATGATTCCACTGGGAAAGGACAACTGGAAGTTTCTGGCTTGGAACTTCCCTTGACTCTGCCCACTGTGTCTCTTCCCTTGGCTGATTTTCTTCTGTATCCTTTGGCCGTGATAAACTCTAACCATGGGTCTGACAGCTTGCAGTGAGTTCTGTGAGTCTTTCTGTGGAATTACGGATCCCGAGGGTGGTCTTAGGGATTCCCAGACTTTGTAAAGGGACCACATAAAGATGGGTAGGACCTGTGGCCTCTGAGAGCTCCTTATCAGCGAACTCTGTCTTTGCTATTCTGCCAGATTCACTCAGCTGTCTCCAAACTGTAGCGAAACCTCGTTAGTTGTCTGTCTTGGTCTTAACTGTGCAACGGCTAGCATTCCCCAAGAGGCTAAGGAGAGGAGCAGCCTGAGGTGGAGAGTAAATTAGGGAACAAGAGTGGCACTGTCATCCAGTACCCCTGCCAGGTTTTCTCCGGGGGCTGTTTTAATGAGGGAGCAGGCGGTTTTCCTCATATAAACCCCCATATGTTCCAATCCCTGGATAGATGCTTCCAAATGCTTGGCTGAATCTAACTCATACAATGAGTCACAACGTGATCGCTGTCTCTGCGTCACAGATGAACTGATCCGCTTCGTGGGGTTGATGAGCCCGGCGTCATAGAACAGAACCAGGAATCAACCTTAGGGCCTTTGTGTCAGGTTCGGAGCTCTTTCAGACAGCATCCCAACAACTTGGCCATCATGTCAAACACCTACACATCTCAGCATCCATAGTGTGCCTTATCCATAGTGTGGTAGACAGAAACACTCTTACTGGCTGGGATGTTCCAAGGACTTAGAGATCCATAGTGTGTCCTTTGTAAAGGAAGACTTTCTGGGCAACAACTGTAAAGGGACATTACATGCAGAATTGCTCTTGGATGGAAACACGTGAAGGAGACCCAGAATTTCCAATGAAGATTTTACATTCTCAACGATCAGTCCGGTGCGTCTTACTGAGACAAAGAGCAGAGAAGTTTATATGTGACCACTGCCGTGACTGTGTTCTAGAGTCTGGACCAAGTGTAGCAGGTGAAGGTGGAATAAGAGAACTTTGCTTTCATTAGTGCCAGGTAGTACTTTACTAATATCAATTCATGTATCTTTTGGAGCTACATTACTAATGTCATGTAGACTTAAAAAAAAAAAATCTCTGATGTTAAATGATTTGACCTATAAGTATACTGTGAATCTGGTATCTAAATAATTTGTGTTCAGAAATGCCCAGCTATTTGATAATGTGGATATAGAATGCAGATAGAAGTTAAGAATTTGTATTCATTTTCCTACTTTAACATTTGCATTTCTATAGTAATAGGGGATTCCAGAGCCCATAAGGATTAGTTCCTACATCTGGCTCAGGTGATTTGGCATATATGGTGTTCCCAGAAAGAGCAGGGGAGGAGTAGTTGGAAGACGAACTTTGAGACCTGATTTTACCCTCTTCCTTCCATGAAATCCTGGGCAACCTCTCTGTGCTTCCCAGTTTATTCCTTTAAAAAACCAAGATTCATGGAAGGGCCTACCCAGTAGGGTTGTCAGATTCACCAAATAAAAACAAAGGAAGGACATTTCAATTTGAATTTCAGAGAAACAACAAATAATTTTTAGGGTAAGTATGCCCCATGCAACTTTTGGGATATATTTATACTAAAAATATTTGCTGCTTATCTGAAATTCAAATTGGACTGGGTTTCCCAGCCACCCTACCATCAAATAAATACCAATGAAAGGGCGTGCACATATCAGTTACGGCATCATCAAGTGCCTCCCTGAAATCAGGGGCAACTGCTTGGCGATGGCACAGTTCACTCGGTGGGGTACCACAGCAGCTCTTTAAGGCTGGTCCAGGAGGCCCTACCCCCTTTTCAGGAGGGCCACGAGATCAAAACTATTCTCATAATAATACAATGACATTACTTGTCTCTTTCACTCTTATTCTCTCTCAAGTGCGTGGTGGTTGTCTAAGAGCTGCACCAAGTGTGGGATCCCCAATGACTGAATGGAGAAGCAGATATGAGAGTCCATCTTCTCTGAAGCCAGATGTTAAAGAGATCCAACAAATGCAAAACAGTGCCACTCCTCTCACTAATTTGTTTTTGTTTTAGAAAATGTAGTTATTTTTTTTTATGAAAGTGTGTTTTACGTTATCATGATATTAGATTACTGTTATTATAAACAAAGCAATAAATAACTATTTCAAATGGTCTCAGTGTTAATTTGTAACATGGTATCAATAGACATAACACATATTGAAAGAAGCTCTTCAGGGTTCCTGATAACTTTCAAGAGTGTGAAGGGGTCCTGATTCCAAAACGTTCGAGAAGCCCTGACTTACTATCTTCCTGTTAATATCTTCAGGGAAGGGGCCCTCAAGTATGGGTCCCCAAATTAAAAGAGAGCAAAGAGGAACGCACATCCTGGTACCCACCCTGACAGGATTCAGATCCCGGCTCTACCATTTAATAGGCTTTGAGACTTTTCTCAAGAGACATACCCTCTCTGTGACTCAGTTTCTCAACTGTTACATGGACATGATGATAATTACAGTACCTACTTATCAGAGTACTTGTGAGAATCATGTAAATTAATATATGTAGAGTTAGAATGGGAGCTACAAGCAGGCAGAGATTCTCATCTCTTTTTATCAATTCCTGGCACACACTAGGACCTTAATAAATGTTTGTTGGATGAATAAAGCAAGTAAGACAGTAATAAGCCCCATATAGGCATTAGGTTTAATTCTATCATTCTGTTTTTTTCACGCATATTTCCAATAGGTCGCTTTGGCACATCATGAATCTATGACTATCTGTGGGGACTAAAAGATAAGGGAGCTTGTTGAAGACGGATGTTGAGAGAGAACTTGCCAAGCTCATTGAGGTAGCCACCGTGTTTCCAGTCTGCCGGCAGCGTTCCCGTGCAGTCCGCCACTGGGCCTCTCTTCCCAGGATTCACATTTTTCAGATTCACAAACAGCTGATTGTTCTTCGACTGTTAAGAATATAAACCGTCAAGGATGTAAAAAGAGAACACAGTGTTACAGATGTGGGAAAGCTCGTCCGTAGCATGGATCAAGGGCCGGTTCTTCAACGAGGCCATGCAGGGGGCAGAGGTGACTATCGGATGGGCCTTAAAGGGCAGCAGGAATACATGTCCCTTGGCCCCAACTATTCCCCTACTTCCTCAAATTCTTCATTTCGTTTAGTCACTCTGTGCCCATTCGACTTTACTTGAGTTAACGTACGTGGAACTTTGAATTAAAAAAAGTTAAACTCTTGGTTTGAGCTCTCCTGTCAAATACGGTATGATTTTTTATGAGTCACCAGTGACTCTGAGCAGTTTTCTTAGCAATAAACATGAGGGTAAGATTATGTACTTTGCCTCCTTCCCTGAATATGTAGGAGAACAAATGCAATGATGAACACAAAAGTCTCTAGGGTATGGGAAGTGCTATTTAACGATTAGGCGCTATAATTAAAATCCAGCTGCATTAATTTAATTGCAACGGAATTAATTTGATTAGCTTGGTTTTCTTCTAGCAGAGAGCTAGAATGAGACAATGGAGATTGGAAATACATAATTTGGGACCGTCGGAAGAAATGCTTGGGATTTCCAAGGATTCTCGAGGAGACTGGGGGTGAGGTGAGTGGTATGGGAGGAGTATCCCTGGGTGTCCACCCTCTCTGGGTGCCTATAAACTGAGGATAACAATCACTCTTGAGTCACGGGATCGGTTTGAAGGTTAGATGAATTTATATTTGCAGACTGGTTAGAAATGCTTGGCACATGGTTTCTATTTGATCACTTTTGACCTACACAACGTGTAGTTCAACCTAAATCATCGCATGGAATTTGTTTTGGGGAGGAAAGGACAGGAGGGCCCAATAGGGCACTAGAAGGCAGGTGGTCAGAAAAGACACAGGAAAAGACCCGGGATGGAGTCTGCTAAGGTCGGCTCTGAGACATCATTTTAAAACCTCAGGCAATATTAGAAACATTTTTCCAGGGAGCTACACTGGCAAATTGGAGACAAGGAGACCGTGACTCAGGCCGCAACCGCCTCCCTCACGAACTAGGGAGCTCTTTTTTGAAGTGAATGAAACTCCCCATTGCTCGGGTTTTTCACCAGTAAACTTGAGATTCTAATACACAGTCAACAAGATAAGAGATATAAAGTGCGGAGAGCCGCATCTGGCCAACAGCAGCTCTCCCTCCATGCTCCTTCCTGTCCGCTCTCCCCTGCCCACCTTCAGGGCCTGGGAGTCACTTCCTCTCACCTTGGCGATGGTCATCCTGTCCCTGTTGTTGACATGAGGGGATGTGGCACACTGGGTAAGCGTGTGGTAACTGGGGTTGGTGAAGTAATGGCTGTTCGCACTTCCCCCGTTGCTGTGGGGAAGGGTTTCTGTAAGAAGAGAAGGAAACGGTTAAGGCGACAGGATCCCCTAAGTCTGGGTGGATGAAAGGGAAGCCAAATACCCAGAATGAATGTCTGTACCACTTCCATATCACAGGCTGGGCAGAATCCCCTCCTGCCCAGCATACTCAGCAAAGCTTCTAGAAGCAGCAGGTGCCTGCCTTCCTACCTGCCTCCTAGAAAACTGCAAGTGTCCTCAGACAACTCCTCTTTGCTCTGGGGCTCATACACCTGGGAAGCCATCACTTTGAAGCTACTTCTGCTATAACCTGCCTCTTTTTTTTTTTTTTTTTAGACACTTAAGCTCTCACCATAATATTCTGTGCTAGAAACAGACTATTAAGCAAATCAGCTGCTTTAAGTATTCCCCTAGAATCGGTGTATTTATAAACATGTAACCCATCTGAAATCCTGCAGTAATTGCCCAAAATAATAAATACTTTAAGTGTACAAATTCCTTAGTTTAAGTAGTTTCTTCTTCTCCTTCTCTTTCTTCTCCTTCTCTTCTTCTCCTTCCTCTTCTTCTTCTTCTCCTTCCCCTTCCTCTCTGCCTCCTCCTCCTTCTTCCTCTTTTTCTTCTCCTTCTTCTTCTTTTAGAGGGAGTGAGCATGTGTGAGTCGGGGAGGGGGGAGGCGCAGAGAGAGAATCTTAAGCAGACTCCATGCTCAATGTAGAACCTGATGCGGGGCTTGATCTCAAAACCCTGAGTTCACAACCTGAGCCAAAATCAGGAGTCGGACACTTAAACCGACTGAGCCACCCAAGCGCCCCTAAGTGGTTACTTCCTCTGATGAAGGAGCATGTCGCTTAAAAATTTACATTTCTGGGGACATGTGACAGAAAGATTTTAAAGAGTTTTCTTAAAGAACAGCTTTGGTTCTTGCTAATACAACAAAACTGTTTCTTATATAACTTTGTGCTTAATGATTTGTATGGGCCCAGGGGCAGGTTAGAAGGCATTCTGTTAAGAGCCCAAGGCCAGAGACAGAAGACCTGGTTCTGGTCCCTGATCTGCACCATGACCTTACCAAACTTATGGGTGCCTCCTCCTCTCCGCTCCCAGTCCCGACATATGACAAAAGTTTAGGTGCCCAGCAAATCTTCCCGCAGGCTGAAATTCCCCAAGTCTAAAGCAACCTCATAATGAATCCAATTTAAAAACCCTCATGGAAGACAACAGTGACGATTTTCCTACTGCTAAGCTATAAAGCACATCCATACCAATGTATCTTTTCCAAACACAAAATTTTCTTCAAGGCTAACGGACAGCAGCAACGGACAGCCTAGCCACAAGCCCCAGTTTCAAAGAACCAGGATGAAACCTTCCTTCTCTAGGAATAAGATGGCTCCAGGGAGCAGTCTTACCTGAAATGGCATAGTCTGCATTCATGACCCTCAGAGCAGGGGTGTAGGTTACTGCTGGCATGCTCGATTCCTTTCCCTTCTGCTTTTGTCTATAAATAATGAACAAGGCCAGCAGGAAGAGAACCACCAGCACAAGAATGATGATGCCCACGATCGCGCCGATCTGGTAGGAATCAGCCGGGAGAGCCGTACTGGTCCTGCTTAAGCTGTTCAGATTTCCAACTATGATGACACTGGCTAGCAAAGGGAGAAGAGATCTGAGTAAGGACGACAGGGTGCCGGATAAACGTCTGAACTCTATTTACGAAATTCTCCCACTGGGCTCCTTCTGGGATATTTTCAGTTCATGAAAGGTTAATTTGGAAACTTTTAGAAACTGCAGGAAGGAAAAACAAACATTCTTCATTTGCGGGTGTTGTTGGCTTGTCTGTGCCCAGAAAAAGGCTGCTCCAAGCCTCAAAAATGGGATTGGATTTCCTGAACCCAAAGACTTCATGGTAGGGTTTGGGAGCTTCTCACATGAAAACACTAAATAAACACTCAGACCAAACCAGGAATTCATTGGGGGTAATAATTTATCTAGTTTTTACCATGCTTTATTTATTGAGCAGTAGTAAGCTTATGAAGGGCTAACTTCTAAATGCCTCAACTGCCTAACTTAATTTTATGTCTATCTTTAGCATTTCTAAGAGTAATTGTCCTTCCAAGCAAGGATAACTCCATTGTAAATCTGGTCCAAGATGAGATAGGGCTGCCTTATCCTAATTTTAGTGGGCTTTTTACCCCAGGAGATATTGTTCTATGCAGTTATTTTCTATGACAGAAAGGTCTGTCCTAGTAACACCTGACAAGATCACCCAAAAAGCTTACTCATTAAAATTTAAACTGTAGCTTTACATAATTCTTTCTCGCATTCCATCCAATGAGGACAGGAAAGATATGAACTGTGAGTCAAGAAACTGGGTGTCTAAAAAATTGATCCAGAGATCCTGAATTTTCCTTTAAGCACTTAGGCCGGAATTTCACCATCTATCTGTAAGGGAGGAAACTGGCCTCCAACCAGGTGCTTCCAGCTCAAACGTCCCTGTGACTTTATGATTCTGAGGTTTAGACTTCCTTATTAAGACAGCCTGCCCCAAAACACAGAGCACGGAGGCCAGCGCCGTGTGGTCACAAGGCATGTGTCATAATGATGTGATTGTGGAATATAACACATCCTATTGTCAGGACAAATACAAATCACGAGCATGTAGAAGTTACTTAATGAAAGGAAATGAACTTGGGACACCTGGGTGGCTCAGTCGGTTAAGCGTCTGCCTTCAGCTCAGGTCATGATCCCAGGGTCCTGGGATCGAGTCCCGCATCGGGGTCCCTGCTCCGCGGGGAGCCTGCTTCTCCCTCT